TCCCCCCCCCCCCCCCCCACCCCCCTTAGAAACGTCACACAGAGTTATCGATATTTTGTTCAATATAGTACACATAAGGTAATTTTCTACTATTTTCTACGGTCGGCTATTGGCGGCGCTTCCGCGAGGAATATGTCATCTTCTGCTGACATATTTTTTTTATTAATATATATTAATATATATGAACTTCAAAATTTCCAACGTTTCTCAAAACAACTTTTTTTTGCATGAAATATTGATAATTTTAGCGCGGTTTTCTTGAAATTTGAGTGTTTTCAATGCAAGGAAGGCGTAATAATATAAATGTATACGTGTAGAACAGGTATGGTATTACGAATGTAGGCCTATAGACTGGTGTTTGTATCAAGTTGTTTTCTTTTTTTATACTCTGCAAAGATGATTTCGAAATGTTAAGGCTTTCGAAAAACTATCGAATTTTTCCATGATATTTACAGAGAAACGTCACAGCTGCAACCCCCCCCCCCCCCCCCCCACACGAGCATATGACGTTTCTCGTGGAAAAATCGATATGTGAGGCTTCCCTAAACCGACCGTGGACGACGTCTAAATCGCCCATGGTATTTTAATTATTTATGTTTTTAAATATTTTATAAAGGGCTTATAGTTGTATTTTTCACAACTGCGCCTGGCTAGGGGAGTGTTCATTATTTATATCCGAGGTTGGTACCGAAGAGAAATGGGTTGGGTAAGCCATTTTTCTGAGGTATGAAGGGTTGGGTAAATATTTTTTGAACAAAGCCTATGGTTGGGTAAATTATTTTCAATACAAACCTCCAATTGAACAAAATATGAAAATCCTTTATTTAACAAAATGGGTCATTCCAGGAAATATCCATTCATTCTCCACAAAAAAAAACTAAACTGCAACTCCCCCATCCCCTCTGATTACAACAACGAGATATGGTAGGACTGCAGGAACTTGGAGGCTTGGGAACATAATATGAACTTGTGAAGGTACAAATGATTATATTTGACATTCAGTTAGTGCACCAAATATGCATAGTACTGTTTATACTATAGTGGCCTAGCTTGTATAATAATATATATGTATAATACTTGTATAATTTTGAAATTGGGTTGGGTAAAATAAAAATCCAAGTCATGCAATAGTTGGGTAGGGGGAAAAATGGTTGATCGAAAGGGTGGGTGGTTGTTTTTTTCTCTTTTCGATTAATTTCTCTTCGATACCAACCCCGGGTATAAATAATGAACACTCCCTAGGTCTAAATAAATTTAGAAAATTCGCTTTCTAAAATTCTCCATGTCTTGTAGGTTCGAACGCGATATTGAGTACATGATCAATGACAAGCCAGGTCTTTACTGGAGAATATGTTGGAAATATCTCGCCCCTCTCTTTATCATCGTTGTCTTTTTCGCACGTTTGATTGACATGATGGTGCATGGAATTAGTTACGAACGATGGGATGTCCTGGAGGTAGGTTTATATTATTTGGTCATTTTTGTTGTTATGGTATATGCCAAAAC